ACCACCAATGCCAAAAAATTGTGCATAATTATTGCAAATCGCTAAACTAAAATTTGCCATAACATGGTCAAACTTTAGTTGCTTAAAACTTCACTAAACTAAAATTCACTTGTGTTACATAATGAAAAGGCTCCTACAGCTCACTTTAAATTTCAGCCACAACAGCTGCAACTCTCTCAGCTGTGCAAGACAAGGTTAAAAACAGCCCATCAAAATGTTGATAAGGCACCATGTCAAACAATATCATTACAACCATGTGATTTCAAATTACACAATATAGGAAACAAAATAAAGCACAGGATGGACTCTTGGAATAATGTTGCTTATATGTTGGTAACCAGTTAGCTTAACTATCTAGCCAGCTAATGGAATAATGAAATGTGTTCCATGCAACTTTTAAATTGCTTCATGTCTGGTTGCAGTGAAATTATGTAGCCTGCAACTTGTCGCATGAAAGTTTCACCATGCAAAGCCAGCCTAATGCTGCCCGTATGCTTCCCACTTGGCTCCCCATATGCATATATAATCTTTGTAAGGCTGAGCATGAAGTTTTGAAGTGGCCCTGGCCTTTTCTTGACCTCTGTGCCCTTTTCTCCCTCAAGAGCAGTTTGGTAAAGGCAGCTGATAGAGAATGCAGGACCTTTCTACTGAAAGGTCATGAATGTAACAGGAATCCAGCCCATGGCCTTTTCCTCTGTGCAAGAGTGGGGACTATTATTAGATGCACTGTCATCTGGTAATGTTAAAGGCTCATGGTTGGACTTACAGTATCCTATATGTGTGAGGGTGCTGTGTGACCAGCCAGTGTGTGGACTTTTAGATTAGTAGTTGTTTGATCTAAGCTTCATATTATGTTAGCTTTTACAGATGCTTATTCTGAAAGGCACACATTTGGTCTGTGGTTCTGCAGGCATATAATAAACTGGTGTAACATATTGGGCTCCTATTTAAATACAAATGCAGGTTCTTACTTTCCAAGTGCTTCACAATGCCACGCAGACTGTTGCCATGGGCTGCGATGAGAACATTCTTGCCAGCCTTGATCTCGGGGACGATGACGTCATTCCAGAAGGGCAGGGCGCGTGCAATGGTGTCCTTCAGGCTCTCACAGGTGGGCAGTTCGCCCTCCTTTAGACCTTTATAGCGTCTGGACTAGTGAAACAGTATGGGCATCATATTTATTACACACCTAGCACTAACCACACCTGATACATGTTGACTATGTCAATGATGCAGTAATATAGAGCTGCATGCAAAGGTTTTGACACCCTTGTTCAAATTGCTTGTTTTGTTGATAAGTTAACACATCCTCAGAACAGACTTATGCACATATTAATGCACAATTACTGTTTATTTGCCGGTTTGAACATATTTGAAAGAAAAAAAATGGAAATATGGCATTTTCAAAATTCATGGCACATTTTATATTTTATGTTTTTCCAAGATCATAAACTCAGCAAATAAATGGAAAGTTTGCACAAAAATTAGCTGAAAATGTCATATTTAAGTTTGTTTATTGTAGGGTTTTGCATACCACTGTATCATTCTGAAGACTCTAATACAATGTTAAAAGTGACGTGCAAGACATTTTTAATATTATTAACAACCTGTCTAAAAATATAAAACACCATTAAAAGAATATTTCAGTCAAAAAAGCTGACGTTCCTAATAATGCATATAAATGAATAGCCATTGGTTACAATTATGCAAATTTAAATCATGCAAAATGATGGCTACTACTATCCATATGTTGCTACTCATGTGTGCATGTTTGATCAGACTCTTCCTTTAATACGGAAGTCCTGAGAGGTCATAAGGTAGTTATAATTTTCTGGACTGTTATCTTGAGATCATAATTTAATTTTTTTGTGATCTCAACATAACAAACGTTGTTTTCTTGACGTCATTGCTTATTTCACTTGTGATCTCAAGACAACAAAAGTTATTTTCTCAAGATCACAACTTATTTTTTTCCTTTGTTCCCAAGATTATCAAGTTTTGTTATCTTGAGATCACGAAATAAATAAGTCATGATCTCTAGATAACAGTCCAGAAAATTATAATTATATCTCATAGCCTCTCTGGACTTCTGTGCATTAAAGACTCTTTCCTCTTCGTTAAGAAGGATATTAGAAAAGCAGAGGCTTTTCCTACCTCGCTGATGATCTTATTGTAGGGATGGTCTTTGTCCATGGGTGGAGGTGGGATGTCGAAGGAGCGCCTCCAGATTTTCACCTGCTCCTCTCCATGCTTGGCTGCGGTCTCTGCCTTGTTCAGACCCGTCAGGCCGCCGTAGTGACGCTCGTTCAGGCGCCAGCTTCGCACCACTGGCAGCCACATCTGGTCAGTGCCCTCCATGATGGTCCACAGGGTCTTGATGGCACGCTTCAGCACAGAGGTATAGCATACATCAAACTTAAGGCCTGCATCCTTGATGGCTTGAGCACCACGCTTGGCCTCTTCCACGCCCTTTTCACTGAGGTCAGCATCGAACCAGCCACAGAAGCGGTTCTCCTGGTTCCAGGAGCTTTCACCATGGCGCACAATGACCAGACGATAAACGGCAGTCATGTTGAGAGTAGTACTACTAATGAGAGTGGTCTACTAATGAGGTACCTTAACCAAACCCACGAAGCACAGCCGTCCTTGCTGTTGTGCACTCACACTGTGACAGACAGTGAGCTCTGAGTGTACATGCTCTTTTTATAGCATGTTGGAACGTGGAATCCAGAGACCAACGTCTCTGCACCAATAAAACAGCTCATCTCTAGATGGACAGCCAGGCCCAACCAGTTCGATTAGGCCTTTTTGTGGGTGGGCCGGATATCTGCCGGCTGTAAGGGCAGAGGTTATCCATAGATTCAAAATAGCAACATGACTTTTAAACTGAGAGTCATGGAATAAAAGTGCAAAGATCACACTTAGGTGTAAAAGAACTCAAAGTTTTACAGGAGCTTTTAAAAAACAGCATTAGCCGATATTTTTGATCTCAAATCCACAACTTGTCTGTTCATATGTTATCCCAGCAGCAGTAAGAACGATGCCTGATGTTTAAACTCTCTCTCCTAATGTGCTAGCCACTACGAATCACATGAATCATCAAATATAGAGGTCAGCAGAATTCCACTGAGAGTGAAATACTGCGTAGTCCTCTTAGTGGTGTACTGTACTCAGCAAAGCCACAGTTTCTGGTCTAGTTTCCCTGATTCTGAGGAGCTGTTAGAGAGCCCTAGCAAAGACCTTCTTATATGATGTAGAGAGCTGGAGCACAGTTAATAATAAACTGATTGCAGTAGAACTGCAGTAGAAAAGTCAGAGGAAACGCACTTTCCTTTGAGCTGCTGGAATTTCTGGAATTCGGTCCTACAAGAGATTCTTTTAAGAAGAATGTTTATAGGTATACAGTCGTATGCAAAAGTTTAAATGTCCTTGGTCAAATTCCAGGTTTTGTGTATTTTCTATGTGAATATAAGTTAGTGCATCGTCTACAAAGAACGTTTAACCCTATTAACAATCCAGGCTTATTACATACTAAGGCTTATTATTCACTAACTACAGGGACTTTAATGCTTTTAACTAATAGAGCTATTATTATGGTATAGAATTATGTAATACTTTGATGGCTTGTTAAGGGGTCAAATATGGCACTTATCTGCAAATTTAAGTGCACAATTTCTATTTATTTGCTCAGTTTAACACACATGCATATTATGTGCTTAATAACTTTTGCACAGGCCAGATTTTGTGTTTTTTTCCCCCAATATGTTAAACTCAGCAAACGAACAGTAATTATTCATCAAAATGTGCAGAAGTGTATTCTCTGTAGAGCATGTGTTAACTTACTGTTACTTAAAAATCAAACAAGTCATTTGATAGCTTTCTCTCTAACCTATGCTTTCTCTGAGTAGACAACAAAACACTTTTGTCGCTCTGGATAGGAACGTCTGCTACATTGATACATGATTAAGGGAAAATGTTCTGCAGGTAGTACTGAAAACTAGTGAATATAATGCAAAAATCAGAGACACTATCAAAGGATAAAGACTGCAGATGTGCAAATTTCACAATCTGTACTTGACTCAGCTTATGCCTGGTCATATTTGGTGCAGGCTGTGATACATTGCCTTACACTTCGCGTAACTGGGCCAAGCCACTGGACTGTGCATTTAATATCATCAGCACAATTTGCTCGTAGATCCCATCTCTACTCTAAAATCAAAGCAAAAACAGTACAGTTAGCAAGTTCCTTAAGACTTGTGGCACCATAACAGAGTTTTAATGCGATGTGGCTATTTGTCTGCCTGTTAAATTCATAAAGCATGCCATTCATAAAGCATGCCTTTTCTTTTCAATCTTTCCCCTAAACCCATGTGGTATTCAGAATATGGTAATCAGAATAAACTACTGTCTAAAATCTATGCAGATTATTAGACAGATGTCTTTTTCAATCTGAAATTGCCTTTAGTCTTTAGCTGCACTACTCACAATAGCCTGTAGGGGCAGTGTTGTGATGTGATGAGAATGGCCCATGACAATGTCTGCATTAGGGGCTGCATCTGCATAACCCATATTTCGTTCACATTTCAGGCTATGGATGCTTATTTCCCTATTAAAGTTTAAACCTACCTTAATCATAGAATAGCTTCATATGCACCAAATGATCATTGTGAAGATCTGACAGTATGGTAAAGAGAAGAAAACATAATGACAGTATTATAAAGACTCATAACAAAGCAACATTTCTCCTTCTCGTGAGTCTTCTACAATCTTTACTTTCCCACTTTAGTTCTTATTTAATGTTTTACAGTACCTCTATCCTTTGGTCCTTTGCTCTCCCTCTGTCTATCCTGCTCTCTCCCTGCCCCTCCCTCTCTGTTCCTCCTTCTCTCACTCTCCCCCTCCTTTCGTCTCCCTCTCCTGCCTCATCTCCATCTCAGTATCTCTCTCCCTCCCTCTCTCTCTCTGCTATCGATCCTGCATAGTCAGAGTTTAGAAAATCACTTGCGTCAGACCTTCCCTTCCTGGCTATATAAGCTGGCGAGACCGCAGCAGCAGCAGCAGATCAGTTTTTTGTAGGCTGACTGCAGGACGAAGCCTGGGACACAGCACACTGTCCTTGGAGCCATGAGTGCCGGTTACGACCCCTACTTCTCCTCCTCCTGCTACAAGCGCTGGTATGTGGAGAGCACCCCACGGGCTCCAGCTCGGAGTCGCTCCCGTACCGTCTATGCCAGCCACACTTCTCCGCTCTCCTCTGCCCGGCTGCACTATGCCTCCCCTGGCCGCGCCACCTCCTCCTCGATGCTGCTGAGCAGCCCGGCCCACTCTGTGGAGCTGGACCTGTGCCAGGCAGCCCAGGTCAGCTCAGAGTTTAGAGCCGTGCGTACCCAGGAGAAGGCCCAGCTGCAGGAGCTCAATGACCGCTTTGCAGGTTTCATCGAGCGAGTCCATGATCTAGAGCAGCAGAACCGTGCCTTAGAGGCTGAGCTGTTGCTTCTCCGCCAAAGGCATGGAGAGCCATCTCGCCTCAGGGCCCTCTACGAGCAAGAGGCCCGAACCCTAAGGGCCGCAGTGGACGAGGCACGCCTGGAGAAGCAGGCCGCACTCAGCCAGAGGGATCACATGGAGGAAACCCTGAGATCACTGCAGGGTCACTACGAGAAGGAAGTCCTGGCCCGTGAAGATGCAGAGAGAAAGTTGTTGGAGGCCCGAAAGGAGGCGGACGAGGGTGCGTTGTCCCAGGCTGAGCTGGAGAAGAGGGTCAACACCCTTCTGGATGAGTTGGCCTTCCTTAAAAAGATCCACGAGAGTGAGATCTCAGAGCTTCAAGCGCAGGTCCAGTATGGGGCGCAGATTGCAGTGGAGACCGAGACGACCAAGCCTGACCTGTCCAGCGCCCTGCGGGACATCCGTGCTCAGTATGAAAGGCTGGCTGCCAGAAACATGCAGGCTGCTGAAGATTGGTTTAGGGGAAAAGTGGGGCATCTAACAGAGACCGTGGCCCACCACAGCGAAGCGGTGAGGAACTCCAGGGATGAAGCAGGCGAGTACCGGCGCCAGCTGCAGGCCTGTGTCCTGGAGATTGATGCCTGCAAAAGCCTTAACGACTCTTTGGAGAAACAGCTGAGAGAAGTGGAGGACAAGCAGAGTGCAGAGATTGCTGCCATGCAGGTCAGTCTTACTACTCTCTTCTAAGAATTTGATTCGACAGAGTAATTTAGAACAAATCAGAAATGGAACTTGAAAAGATAACACTTAAAGAGTACTTCAGTGTAATAAAATATAAGTCTAGTATTCTCAAACTCTCATTCTGTTATTTTGCTATGCTAACCAACCTTATTTAACTTTTCCATGATGTTCTATAGGATACAATCAATGAGCTAGAAAATGAACTAAGAGCCACTAAAGGTGAGATGGCAAGATATCTTAAAGAGTACCAGGACCTCCTCAATGTCAAGATGGCCCTTGATATTGAAATAGCTGCATACAGGTAGGAAATGCAAAAAGAGAAGGAAAATTTACATTGTTTTAGACATTTATGTGTATGAAACATGCACTTTCAAATTATTTTCACAATTTTATTTTGCATATAAGTCATTAGACATCCCATACTGCTCTGTTTTAACAGGAAACTCCTAGAGGGTGAGGAATCACGCTTCAATGTGGGTGTGGCAGGAGGTTTGGCCAGTGCTTACTCCATCGGCCCAGCCTACACACGGCCCATGTTCACTCTGCAGTCCACTGTGAGCTCTGGCGCCCCCTATCTGCTCAGCTCTCGCGTGATCAGCTCCACTCTGTCAGCCGAGCCCACAAAGGAGGAAGAAGCAGAGGAAGAAGAGGAAAAGGAGGAGGAAGAAAAGGAAGAAGAGGAAAAGGAGGAGGAAGAAAAGGGTGAAGAGGAGGAAAAGGAGGAAGAGGAGGAAGGAAAAGAGGAAGAAGAGGAGAAAGAAGAAGGTAAGCTTTTGATAACTAATGCAATATTAGGTTTTAACTGTTTTGACAACATGCTTCATATTTAAATAGCTAATTTATATTCAAATATAAAAACAGCTGTTGATAAATAACTTCTGGGTTGCAGAAGGTGAAGAGGAGGCTGCCGCTGAGGCTGCAGAGGAGGAAAAAGAGGAAGGAGGTGAAGAGGAGGAAGAGGCTAAAGAGAAAGAGGGTGAGGAAGAGGAAGGAGCAGAGAAAGAAGAAGGAGCTGAGGAGGAGGAGGAGGGTGGTGAGAAAGACGGAGAAGAGGAAGAGGGAGAGAAGGATGAGGAGAAGGGAGATGATAAGGAGGAGGCTGAGGCTGACAAGGCTGATACTGAGGCAGCAGCAAAACCAGAGAAGGATGACGCCAAAGAAGCCAAAGAGGAGCCGAAGGCCGAGCCAGAGGCAGCTAAAGAGAAGGAGAAAGCAGAACCTGAGCCAGTTAAAGAGAAAAGTGAGGCAGAACCAGAGCCAGTCAAAGAAAAAGCCAAGGAAGAACCAGAGAAAGCCAAACCCAAAGAGAAGGCCGAGACCGAAAAACCAAAATCAAAAGATGAAGGCGATAAAGCCAAAGATGAGGCGAAGGAAAGTGCCAAACCAGAACAGGAAAAGAAGAAGGAAGAAGAAAAGCCCAAAGAAAAGAAGTAAATACTATGATTTAGGGCAGAATAGAAACTTTAACATGCACTTATTCACTCTTGGCACTCTGATGAAGGCGCTAAGTGCAAAATGCAATAATGCAATAATGATGTCTGAAAATAGATTCAGCTATACTTGCTCTGTAAGCAGACTGTAAGTTATGCATAATACAAATGAATGAATGAGTATTGAATGTCATATGTTATTTTCTGCTAATACAGTGTGAATAAATGTGGAACTTTGCTGCAAGTGCAATAATAAACATGCCTCTGAAGAATCATCAGAGAGACTTGCTGATTATTTCACCTCCTGTGTTTGTACCCCGTAGATGACTTTATTCCATACTGATTAAAGCAGGTTACATATGAAGATATATGATACTTATTTTTAGCTAAATTTCAGTTTAATCAACAGCGTTTTTCCTATTGAGCCTTTGATTTTACACACAAATGTTAATACTGTAACTTTACAAAGGGTTACACATGAATGAGCAAGAGATACCAAATTGCACATTGACATAAAGTCTTTATTGTAAATCAATATCTCGTTCATTTAGCTGATAGAAGCTGCTGCATGGAAAAAAATCCTGTTGAACTCTCTGCCAGAAGTGACCAGGACCAATATAGATTTCATAGAAAATAAAGTTTGCCACATAAATTCCCACCTGTTTTTTGATGAAGTCATCATCAGCTATGATCATTTTTAATTGCCATTATGATCTACATTTACCTCCCTGCAGTTTCTGTGGGTGAAATAACTGTAAATAAAGATAGGCTTCAACCTGTAGAGTAACTGAATGTGTCAGTTTCTGAAATGGATATGTCAGCTGCATTTTTCTAAGATGAGATGAAGACTTGATTTGATCTGATACACTGACATATTAGACCTCCTTACCTCTCACTGCAATAATAGATTGGAATAAATAGAAAATAGGAATGCATGAAGGGGCCTGTATCATAGAAAACCTATATATATATTATAATATACCATCAAATGTAACATTCACTCTTGATTTGGTCTACATATGGAAACTAAGCTCATTATGTTTTATATATTTGTGATGTCATGAAAACCTGTACATTTACATAATCCACCCATCCAGCCTACATCAGTTTAGCTTCATTCATTAAAACTATAAGGAATGTCTTATCAGACCACTTTTTGAATGAAGCACAATACAGAGCGGCCAATCCGAACATTGATATATATATATATATATATGTTCAGTCTTAAAGATACAATAAAAAAAAAACATCCTGATTAATAGTGATGGATTAAAGGAAGCTGGAAAAAAGTATTGTAAAAATTAAATATGCTTGTTTTTTATACAAAAGGCCCACACTTCTACTCGGTCATTTGTTTGCCTTGTGCAAGTCATCTTCAACAATAGAGCAGGCAAAAACTTGGAATTCACACAAAATGCCAAAGCACACGCTCAGTGGAGATCCTATTAAGTACACATCCTCCATGATAAGTGCTTAATCAGTGACTTTATCACAGAGAATGCTTCAACAGGCAGGCTTGTGGCTAAACATTGAATGTATGTACAATTTTTAATTACCGTCATGATCTATATTTTCCTTCCTGCAGTTTCTGTGGGTAAAATGACTGTAAAGACAGGCTCCAGCCTAGAGAATAAGTGAATGTGTCAGTTGCTGAAATGGATACGTCAGCTGCATTTTTCTGAGATGAGATTAAGGCTTAATTTGATCTGATACACTGACATATTAGACGCCCTTACCTCTTCCCGCAATAGTAGATTGCAACAAATAAAATGGAAATGCATTATGGGACCCATATTATGGAAAATCAATTTTTTTTTCTTTACTTTTTTTGCTGTAGTATAACATTCACTCCCCTATAAGTGTCAGTATATACTGATAATGGATTCAGCTATGCTTATGCAAAACATCTCAGAGTCAGTCAGCGAACCTTCCTGGTCTTCCTGGTCTCAAAATAGGTAAATTACAATAAAATTTACATACAAGACAGACTCTGTAAGCATATATATATATATATATACATTACACGCAAATGTATTGACAATATCTCATTATAATATCTAATGGATAACAGTAGTATTGCTATCATAAGAAAACCTTGTATCCCTAAAACTGTAGCTGTATAAGAGAAGAAAATAACGTTCTTAAAGGGGAATTCCACCTAACTGTCAAAATTGTAGGAAACTTGCTGACTCACTGTGATTTCTTCACAGTGGTGATGATGGGCTGTTATTTACCATCTAAAACCACCAGTGAACCTACATGTTTTCTGAGTTTTCATATGTTATGTTGATAATAGAAATATAGCACCAAATCTAAAAATCTACAATTTTTTCTTTAAGGACCATTTTGGCTTGGAACGCTCTGTATGTACCTCTCTGCATTTTCTTGTAATTTAAGGCCAATACCTCATCGCAAAATCATCATAAATTATCATAATTTATGGAATGTTATATATATCACATTATATGGCTGTGCATATGAATGTTTTCCTTTCTCAACATATAAACATACATATTACTGCCACTCGTAGTGTGTGATTGAACATTGTATGGTATATCATATTAAAGCTGTGCATAGCGTGAAATGGCAAAACTTTGTTACCAGAGGTGGAAAAGTAAAGAGAAATAAAACTTAAGTGAAAGTATGAGTACTTTGTCAAAATCTTACTCAAATAAACATATGGAGACAAAAATATGTTTGAGTGAAAGTGAAAAAGCATCTACATTTAAGCATACCCAAGCATCTAAGAGTAAAAAGTAATTAACGAATAACTGCTTGATAAAGGACCTTTATGGCCTCTATGGATTTGTAATGTGTACTTTGAAGTAAAGAGTAAGTATGTAAAGAGTATGTAAAGAGTGAAAAGTATGTTTTACCTCTTTAAAATGTATTAAACTACAAGTATTCAGTTACAATAACACTCGAGTGTGAAGTACATATTTTCAAAAATATTATTTGAATATTGTAATAGTACAAACTCAAAGTATTTTCCACTATTTAAATTCTGCTATGTGAAAGTGTAAAATCCAACAAATCAAATTTAGATACACATCAAGTCATACATTTATAAATAGCACAATATAACTTATTCTGGATAAATGTGGCTATTATGTCTTACAGTGCATGCATGTGAAGAAGTGACAGAGAACACACAAGCACATCTTTTATTATGATGTTTATTGAGCAAATGCTGAAATTCATCATGATGAATAAAGACATGGGACTGCAAACAGTAGCACCTCATTAATGTTAAGTAGTTAAATTCAAGTCCATCCTATGCATACAAGAATGTATGTGTGCGCACAATCAGGCTTATTTTCATTTGCACTCATTAGGTAAACATAATTAACGACGGTAAAAAGCATATTTAAGGCTAGGAGTTTCTTAGTTGCTTTATGTACTGTATGTATATGGTTAATGGGGTTACTGTACCGTTTTCATCCTTGTTCTTAACTGTATTTTATTGTTGGTTTTGTTTGGCTCAGTTGGTGGCCTCACATTTGTATCAGTAAGGCTACTTAGTTGGAACTCATCTCTTCACAGATTGCTCTACTGCCCTACTCATATTCTCCTCAAAATAAGCATTATTTTGACGTCAAGAACTTTTGTTTCACTCTCTCAGCATCCATTCTGTAGCTGTGCAAATCTATATTACTTTCATACATACAGATTGTTTTTCTACCCCAGAGAGTGGGGAGCGTGCTCCCCCCCTGAGCTGGCATGCAGACGCCGCATCCCCGGTGCCCCCCCCACCCCAGCTATTGCAGACAGAAAGAAGAAGATCTAAGCTTCTGATGCCCAAACCGCATCTGCAGCAAAACCAATTTAAAGCTGTCACTCAACATGCATTTTAAATTTTAGCTTGTCGCATCTTATGGCTTCTCTCTATGCTTTAATTTTTTTTGTTTGTTAAACTTGACAGTGGTTAACGTAATTAAGTACATCTTTATCTAGCTTTATGTTTTCTTTGTAATGTTAGTTCTGATTTGATTGCAAGTGTCCTCTTCAGCTCCTCGTCTCTTGAGTGATGGTTAAGTGCTTCTTTACTCAGTTTCTGTGACCTGCTTCACTGACTGGGTGGACACCTTCTCCGTTTTCTTGGTGGACACCAGCTTCTCCTGGACCAGCTCATCCACCTCCTTCACCGTCTCAGTGACGGTTACAGACTTGGTCACATGCTTAGCTCCATCCTCACCAGTAGTGATGGTCTCCACTGTTTTGGTGATGACCACTTTCTGGCTGGTGTCATCTTTGGTGGGGCTTTCATCCACTCCATTTGAGATCACTTCTTTCTTGTCATCGTCTTTCTTTTCCACGTCCTTTTTGTCTTTGTCAGCTTTTCCTGCTTCTTCCTTTTCGGTCTTCTTTTCCTTGGACTCGGCCTCTGATTCGCCCTTTTTGGCCTTTTCAGCTGGTTCGGCTTTTGGCGCGTCTGTCTTCTTCTGAGGCTCTGCCTTGGGTGCTTCCTTTTTTGGGCTTTCACTCTTTGGAGATTCGCTCTTGGGAGATTCAGCTTTTGGAGCATCTTTCTTCGTCTCCTCTACCTTTGGAGCCTCAGTTTTGGGTGTCTCCTTTGGGCTCTCAGTCTTCGGAGATTCAGCCTTTGGAGATTCTTTTGGAGATTCTGCCTTTGGAGATTCCGCCTTGGTCACGGTTTCTTTATCTTTCTCGGCCTTGGCCTCTTCTTTGTCATCTTTTCCTTTCTTGTCCTCTTTCTCAACCTCATCCTTAGCCTTTTTGTCCTCATCCTTTTTCTCTGCTTCTGCTTTGTCTTCTGCCACAGCTTCATCTTTCTCCTCAGCCTCTTCCTCTCCTCCTTCTTCTTCTTCAACACTTGCCTCCTCTCCAGCCTTTTCCTTCTCTGGTGAGGCCTTTGATTCAGGCGCCTTATCACTTGAGACCTTCTCCTCTACTTCCTCTTCTTTCTCCCCTTGTGCTTCCTCACCTTCCTCTGCTTCTTCCTCTTTCTCTCCCTCCTCTTCCTCGCCCTCATCCTCTCCTTTCTCCTCACCCTTTCCTTCCTCTTCTTCTTCCTCATCACCTCCTTCCTTTTCCTCAGCTGGAGCACTGGCGCTCACTTTGGCTTGGGTTGCAGCAACAGCTTCCTCTTCTTCTTCTCCTCCCTCACCTTCCTCTGCCCCTTCCTCTTCTTCTTTCTCTTTGGCCTCCTCTTCACCTTCACCTTCTCCTTCCTCCTCTCCTTCATCTTCTTTCTTTTCCGCAGCCATTTCCTCTGCCGCTTCTGCCAAGGCTTCATCCAGCTCAGATTTTTCATCCTCCACTCGGGTCTCCTCGATGATCTCCTCCACAAACTTGTGTTGCACCCTCAGTTTGGGGGGCTCAGCTTTGACCTTGGGGCCTTTGGTGACCGTCTGACGGTAAGGGAAGGTGCTGAAATGGGTCTCTTCTCCTTCAAGTAGTTTCCTACGTGAAAAGATTAGGAATGAATATGTTTAGAATAAATTGCATATCAAAAATAAAGTAAGATGTAATGTCAGAATTGAGGAGTCATTTACAAATGAATATGTTTAGAAATGAATGCAGACTCAGCCTCAGTATCCATTATGACTCAGCATGCAGTATCCATTATTTAAACGACTCTCCATGACTAAGCCCTCTGTGTTTAGCTACCTGTATGCTGCAATCTCTATATCTAATGCCATTTTGACATTCAGGAGGTCCTGGTATTCGCGTAGGTGTCGGGCCATCTCCCATTTCGTACTCTTCAGCTCGTTATCCAGCTGGTGGATGGTTTCCTAGATGTACAAACACAACATAGTCTCAACTTAGTGGGCATATAAAGCAAGAGAGAAAGGAGAGGAGGGGCAGCAAGAATGTAACAGACTGTTGAGAATGACATCATCCTTAGAAAGAAAAACAATAGAGAATTATTCTTTACAATACAGACCCTCCAAGTGTCTCATCTTTATCTTTCTCATTACAGCATAAGCATTTATGTCTGTATCGTGTACACGCTCTCACTCCCTTTATGATATGGTATCCCTCACTTCTGACGCAGTAAGCGTCTCAATTGCAGCTATTCTGTATTGACTATGCAGTTTCAAGGGCATCCGCTGAAAACTGCTGGATAATTGAGGGTGAGTTCAGGGCACATCCAAAGAGAAAGCACTGCAGAGAATCAGAGGGAGACTGCAAAAGGTTATCTGGCTCCTCTCAACCCTCTGCAACATGACACCACCGCACTGCACCTCTTCTGCAATCTGCATTCACCTCTGCAGAAAACTCTGGCTAATACCCCATACCCAAACCCACAGTGCCTTTTCTTTAATGTGTCATAACTCTCCAGGCTTTCTAGTGAGTTCAGTTACCACTTTATAAAATACAGAGAAAATAAAGATGCGTGAATGATCTTATCATCTGAAAGATGTTTAGCTAACAGTTACTGTTTGTAAAGCTGCAGATTTATATAAGAAATATAAAAGAAGAAATGAGTAAGCTTGATGTGTCAGCAGTTTCCTTTATGCAGCTCTGGGTTAAAATACATCCCATTACTGTAGGTTAAAAAAACTAGTCTGCCTTTTTTTTATAGAATTTATTCTACAAATTCTCTATATATTCTATTATAGTTAAATTAAGTAAATTAAATGTTATAAATTAAAATAGATACATTAATTTGAATAATAAAATAAATGTGGTAAACCGTGTATAGTAAAATAGTAAAATAAATAAATATTTTTAAAAACATTAAAATATGGAATGGTAAAATAAATACATATTATTACAAAAAATGGTCATTTATTTAAGACCATTTAATACATTTTTTTTTATTATTTAATACTTATTCCCAAAAAAGTAATGAACTATTTCGTGAACAATAACTAGGGAAATATATTTATTTATTTTATTATTCATACTTGTTTTTAACACTGTTAGTAAACTGGTAAATGATTCAATAAACTGTTCTGCACAGCAACAGTTACAGTTAAAGTTATGCTGCTGTAAAGTCTGTGCAGTAAACGAATGAATGCGGTGTGATTTGGCACCTGAAGGCTGGCCAGGTCTGCGCCGTGTCTCTCCTCCACGTCGCTCAGCTGCCTCTCCAGAGACTCCTTGGTGCCCCTCACGGCCTCCAGCTCGACGGTCTTGGCCTGCAGCTGACGCCGGTAGTCCGCGATCTCGTCGCGCGCGCTCCTGATGGCGTCCTTGTTCTGCTCGGCGGCCTCGGTCAGCTTGGCGTAGCGGCCCATGAACCAGTCCTCCACCTGCTGCAGGTTGTGGGCGGAGTGTCCCTCCAGCTGCACGCGGATCTCGCGCAGGGCCTCGGTCAGGTCCGCGCGCTGGTGCTCACGCTTGTCGACGGCCACGTGCGACGCCTCCTGCACCTGCGCGAGCAGCTCGCTCACCTCCTCCTCGTGGTTGCTGCGCACGAAGGAGATCTCGTCCTGCAGCGAGCGCACCTTCTTCTCCAGCTCCTGCCGCGCGAGCGACGCGTCTCCCGTGTCCCTCTTCAGCGCGCGCACGGCCGCATCAGCCTCCTCGCGCGCACGCGCCTCGTCGTCCAGGCGCTCGCGGAGCCGCTGGATGTCCTCCTCCAAGTGCTCCGTGTCCAGCTGCACCTGCGCCTTCTCGTGGTGCGCCTGCTCGAGCGTGGCGCGCAGCTCGCCCAGCTCGCGCTCGTACAGCTCGCCCAGCTGGGACTGCGACACCTGCTTCTGCCGCAGCGCGTGGATCTCGTCCTCGATCTGCCGGTTCTGCTGCTCCAGGAAGTGCACCTTGTCGATGTAGACGGCGAAGCGGTCGTTGAGACCCTGCAGCTGCTCCTTCTCGTTGGAGCGCTTGTAGTCTGCGTCCACCGGACTCAGCTCCACGCTGTCGGCCGTGCTCAGAACCGTCGAGCTGTAGGCTCGCGGCACGGGCACGGACACGTTAATGCTCCGTTTGTAGACTGCGGAGGAGCCCGGGCTGGCCCTGGACCACGTCTGCGAGCGGAAGCCGCTGCTGGGGGTCCCGCTGCTGCGGCTGTAGCTCGTCCTCGTATCCATCACCCTCCTGAAGGGGCTTCCGAGAGTGTCTACGGAGAAACTCATCGGTGCAGATGAAAGGGGGGAAAGGGGGGAGTGGGCGATGCGAAGTTAGAGGTGTACGGTGCGTATATGTGTGGGTATGTATATGTGCATGTATATGCGTGTAGAGTGTGTGTGTGGCTCTCACAGCGCCCAGATAGCTCGTGCGCGGACTTTATATAGCGAAAAAGGTGGGCGGACTATTCTGACTGGACCATTGATCCGCCGGAGTGGGAGGGACTAAACAGTGCTCGGTGCAGGCTCTTCTTCATCAGTGGTTGGGCTTCATGGTCAAGCAGAGCACGTGGGGGTGAGGCTATGTGGGTGGGCTCGTCTCCGAATGTAGAGAAATGGCACAAAGAGGAACAAGAGTATTTGATGGCATCATCACATACATACGGTCCTCTTTGAACTACGAAGCGCCAAAATGAAGATACGTGACGCTGTTTTGTGTGATGGAGTTCAGCAGTGAAGTCTTACTAGTCAATCAGGGAGCCTGATGCTTTCAGCACCTTGGACAGCGTCTACCAAGACATGCCTAGCATCACCTATATCAACAATTAATGGGAAAACTCTTCGTTGATCGGTTCATAAATCACTGCATAATAATATAATTGCATTTTCAAATGACAGTTTGCTTCTACCATCATTCCACCATAATTTCATTTCTTATGATACTAAATTAACATTTAGGCTGCACACCACATAATCTGACATCCTCTCTCATGTTTTATTAGAGCAATAGTAGAGATTCACTATTGCCTGCTTACAACTTTGCATCACTAAACTAACCCTAAATTAAGGTAAAACTATGATGAACAATGAATATCGTGTTTCAGATCTTTCGTCTCACACAGTGGCACAGTACTGTGCAAAATAAGACGTAAGACATAAGATAATCCACCTGCATAAGGAAGGAGAACATCAAAGGAAAATAAGTGAAAAAATGGAGTTAAAAATGATTAAAAGACATAAAGAAAATGGGACAACCATGACCTGGTAGACCTACTGAAAAAAAATGATCCTTTCTTGCTTCAGATTTTCAGAAATCCAAAGATGTTTCTGTCCATCTTTCCATTGTGAGAAGGCAACTCAATGCTATGGGTCTGACAGGATATGTGACAGGTACAAGACTTTACTGAGCAATGAAAATAGAGAAAAAAGTAGAACATTTGCAACCAGTCCAGGCCTGCATCAGGGGATCATTTAGTGGGGCGATGCACTACCAGGCAATCACCACTGACATTTTTTTTGTACATACTTCTATAGCTGCAGGTGGTAAAAACAACCAAAGTGCTCAATGTAAAAGGCTACATTGATTATTATTGATTATACAGGATTTGAATGCATCACTCTGTAATGGCTGCATTTTAGGGATGCACCTTATGTTGTGGGAACAAATACAAATACTACATGGACAAAAGTATTTTATTTTTTAGTATATTTTAAAGTATTTTATCCTTATTACTGAGTTCAGGTGTTTCAGCCAGACCCATTACTAACAAGTGGATAAAATTACACACATAGCCTTGCGGTCTCGATAGACAAACACTAGCAGTAGGATGGGTCATACTGATGAGCTCAGTGACTTTAAACATGGCACTGTCATAGATTCCACCTCTGCCACAAGTCAGTTTCTGAAATTTCTGTCCTGCTAGATCTGCCCCTGTCAACTGTAAGTGCTATTATCGTGGAATAGAAGCAGAGTGGGACTGCTAAGTGAGCATGGCTGGGTGAGTTTGGTGTGGAAGAACTTGACTGGCCCACACAGAGCACTGACCTCAACTCCATCAAACTTCTTTAGGATGAACTAGAATGGAATGTCATAAAAGCTCCTGTAGGTATAAAGTGTAGGTGTCCTAAAACTTTTGTCCATATAGTTTAACTTAGCAAATGTCCTAAATGGATAAACCTTTGATGATTTGCTGTAAATGTCGGTCTCCTGTTAGTTTTCATTAGCTGTTTTCTGTTTGTTTGCTTCTGTTAAATTTATGTTTATGTTGAATTACCTGCAATTAATGGTTGTTCTAGCTAGCAATGAAATAAATGCAGCATGGTCTCTGACTTTTGCACAGTACTGTGCACAGCAAAATGACTTTCCCTATCACTAGAGCATGATGCTGAACACTGGAGTTTAGCACTATACACTATTGCAGAATTAGCTGTGATATAAATATCATGCTTAAGATCTTCTACACACACAGATAAAACTAGTGGGATATAATTTTTAACAATACAGGTGTAAAGAGTCTGGCTGTTCATACAAGCCAGAATGTCATTTGCCTCATCTGTTATTGTATCAACTTTAATTAGAGTCAGTCTGGACGGGGCTGGGGGGAAGACAGGAAGATTCATCCTGCTGAATAGCATGTAATTACCTTGTGCAGATGAAGACTCTAATCTTGGCTATTTGAGCAGTCTGATGAACGACTCCTCTGACTACAGGAAAATGTGCTCATTGTCTTTCATATATCAGACACTAAGCCTGTCGCTATCATAAAGGCCTGCGTAGCAGCTCATGTAGAGGAAAAATCTCATTCAAACATTTTTTTTTCTTTCAGGTAACCCATCTTTAATGTTCAACGTGTGCCTACTGTGAGGCTTATAATAACTATTCACAGATCTACAATATGATACGCCAGCTTAAACTCCTCGATTGAACTCTTCCTGTCTCTCCACAGAAATCCGAGGATAACGGATGATAAATGCGATCAATATGACCTCAGTGATCCCAAAGCCTGCAGACAGTATTCACCAGAGAATTGGAAAGTCAGTAGTCTTGCAAATGTATGTTAAGATGAAAATGCAGCATGAGTTTAACCCCTTAGAATCACAGCCTTCCCAGGATCTTTCCTACATTCTAAGAACTATTATTCAAGAATTATGTGGAAATAAATGCAAACACATTACAGGAGGGTCTAACACCATTTCAAGAGGTTAAATTAATGCATGAACTCTTACTGAGTTTGTTTAAAAAATAAATAAGATATTGTACATAAATAGATATTGTAATACTGTTTTGGTAACACTTTACTTGAACATAACTGTCATGATATATGTTGTAATGTTTGTCATGATGGCCAAGTAGAGTACAATGGTGCAGGACATTCCTTTCATTCTGGAAAGGAGAAGGATGTACTTTTTGTTAAAAACAAACAAACAAACAAACAAAAAAAAACCTTACCCATATGTTTCAGTTCTTCTACTGGAAAAAGATTTTGTTCTCTGTACATACAACACATCTACAAACTCAATTGGAATTATTGGGGGAACTTTTTCAAGTGGTGACAACTTACATTACATTCACCAACAACATGCTTGTTGTTCATTGGGCAATGTTAATGAGAGCACAAGACCCAGTTTAAGGGGAGTCTGGCTGCTTCCTATTTCTTCTGTTATACCAAAAAACATGACTGTAAAATGCCAGTGGGCACCTGTGAGTGAGTCCTAAATAGATAGGGGTGAATGGAGTTAAACAGCAAAAATGAAAAGTTAAAATACTTTCTAACCACGTGGCCAGGACCTTTATTTTTTGGAAAGTAGAAGGATGCATTTCACTAACAAAACAAAGAAAACATACCTGCACATTTTACAGCAAATGGGTTTTGGGCAGCAGGGATGCTACCCTTACTGCCACTGAGTTCTGATTGGTTGGCAAGCGAAGCAGCTCATTAGCTGAGTGAAGAGGTTTGCCTTCACTGATACCATGAACGTACTTGAGGCAGCAGTCCTATATTTCATGTTTAAAAGCGCTCCAAAGTATAACAGCAGGGTTAAAATGTTTTACGCTGTTTTGTGTTTAGGAAATAAATGCATTGGTATAAAAAATGTTTAAGCATTTGCAAACTACGATTTTCCTCAAATGCTCCATATTAGCCCATTCACTTTGAGCTCGCTCAGGAGAGCCCTCTATTGTCTGACAAACACAGAAGACATTACTGAGTGGCAGTTCTCCTCTCTACAAATCTTCTGCCCCTACTTTGATTTCCTTCTTTACGAGGCATTGCATTGAATCCTAAACATAAACTGTTTTGATATCAAACACTGTATCATCTATCATGACAATTAATGCTAGTGGTAACATGGCACTCTTATATTACTGAACATAATCTATGATGACAACTCATGATAGCACAGAACATCTGCCATGACATGTTTATGACATGGTTATGCTAAAGTTATGCTCTGTAGTAAAGTGTTACTGCTATTTTAATATAAGTATGTTCTAAAAAAAAGTAATGGTGGTTTAATATGTCTTTCAACTTTCTTAAGAAATGCTATAGATTTATATTATGTTAACAGATATTGCAGTGTTGTAGTATAAGCTACCGGGAGTATGAGCATTCCAAATAAACTATGACTAAGTTCTTTTCAATATAGTAGCAGCACTGAAAGCCTCCTTTTAAACCCTGAGAATTGTGTACTATTGTCCTTCGTAAATACTGACCTATAGATATTGATATTTGACTTTTTTCTTATTCTTCCTTTCTGCCATTTGTGTAACCAGTTCCAGTATAGTGGGTTTATTTTTACTGCTTTTGAGGCCTCACACATCTGACTGGCTTACAGACTGGCTCATGCATTGCATGGCTATGCCATTTTCTCTTAGTCCAGCAGCATTTTCATGGACACCACACCCACATATAGCACACACACTGACCAGATGGTACTTAAACCAGAAACCAGTTGAAAGCTGCAGCTCTCCAAAGCAAAGCGGTGCTTTTACTGCATGCACCTTTATGGCCAATGCTTTAACCATTTAATTCACAACCAGTCTCCTGTCAGTATTATTGATTTTTCATTCCTTTTACTGCAGTGTGATGTCATTGCAAACTCTTTGACCGCACTTGCTGCAGATAATGCAACCGTGTGCTTTGCCGACAAGATCTCCTGAAATGTGAAAGTCTGGTGCAGACTGTAATTGTGCAAATTTGTTACATTTCCTGAAGCCATTCTGTACAAAAAATAGGCGCAGACTAATCATATTTCCAGAAAGTCAAATCTAGTTAAAAAAGCTTTGACCAGTGCTTTTTAACCACTGGCATTACAAAGGACAATGGATTTGTCCCTCTGAGGGTAATGGAATTAGATGTTTCGCATTAATCACTGGCTTGATTCAGTTATTTCTGCTGCTGTT